GATAAGGAGAAAATTCAAGCCGTCAGAGATTGGCCGCAGCCCCGAAATCTCCATGAGCTGCGAAGCTTTCTGGGTCTCTGCACCTACTACCGTCGATTTGTCCCAAATTTTGCCAACATCGCCGCCTGTCTACACCGCTTAACGCAAAAAGGCCAGAGGTTCCAGTGGGGCAACGACCAAGAAGAGGCGTTCAGTAAACTCAAAGACATGCTATGCAGAGCCCCCATTTTGGCATACCCTATACCTGGCGGAAAGTTTGCTCTGGACACAGACGCAAGTGCGTGCGGCATTGGTGGCGTCCTTTCCCAGGAAATCGACGGACAGGAAAAAGTCATCGGGTACTACAGCCGGACATTGTCGAAGCCTGAGAGGAATTACTGTGTGACGAGGAGAGAGCTGCTTGCTGCCCTTGAGAGCGTTAAACACTTCCACAAATACCTATATGGCCAGCATTTCCTGCTGAGGACCGACCACGCTGCTCTCCAATGGTTGCTGCGGTTTAAGAATCCGGAAGGTCAACTAGCCCGTTGGATCGAGAGGCTCCAGAGTTATGATTTCAGAATCGAGCACAGAAAAGGCGGAAAACACGGTAATGCTGATGCCCTGTCTCGTCGGCCATGCAAGGTAGAATGCAGGCATTGCTCAAAGGCTGAGAATAAGGAGAATATCGTTGATGTCCGGCTATTGCAGTTTGAGTCGGGTGAAGATTGGTCGACGGAACAACGAGGGGATCCCATTCTGGGCAAAATAATTTCGGCCATAGAAACGGGCAAGCGACCTAGTCGCAAAGAAATTACCTCCGAAAGCCCTCTTTTAAAATCCTATTGGGCCCAGTGGGACAGTCTACTTATAAAAGATGGCTGCCTATATCGCAAATGGGAAAGTGAGGACGGTAAATCTCACCGGAACTTGATCGTCGTCCCAGACTCCAAAATAAGAGATGTCTTGTCGGAGTTTCACGATGGGCCAAGTGGAGGACATCTTGGCATAGCAAAGACCGCTGAAAAGGTAAAGCAGAGATTCTACTGGGTCGGCTGTCAAAAATCCATTGCCGACTGGATCGCCAATTGTGAAAGGTGCATAAAAGCTAAAGGTCCAACACGGAAGAGTCGAGGCTACATGCAGCAGTATAATTCAGGAGCCCCTTTTGAAAGAATCGCAATGGATGTAGCTGGACCGTTCCCCACAAGCGACTCTGGGAACCGGTATGTCTTAGTGGTCATGGATTACTTCAGTAAATGGCCGGAGGTTTATGCTATCCCAAATCAAGAAGCCAGGACAATTGTGGATGTGTTCAGCAAAAATTGGATTTGTCGCTATGGTGTTCCATCTGAGGTTCATTCCGATCAAGGTAGGAATTTTGAATCAGCGATCTTCAAGGAAATGTGTGACTCCTACGGAATTAAGAAAACCAGAACGACGCCCCTACATCCACAATCAGATGGCATGGTGGAAAGATTCAATCGCACCCTTGAAGAACATCTACGGAAAGTGGTGGACAGTGGCCAACGAGACTGGGATGAGCATATTCCAAAGTTTTTACTGGCTTATAGATCGGCCATTCATGATTCCACATCCCGGACTCCAGCCAAAGTTCTGTTCGGAAATGAATTAAAGCTACCTGGCGATTTGATATTCGGTGCTACCCCAAACCACGATGTGAACCAAGAAGAAGACAGTCAGAACTCTTTTAGTAAAGTCCACGATGCTGTTCGCCATCGAATAAAATTGGTTAGCAACCGCATGAAGGCAAGGTACGATCGAGCGGCAAATACCGATGGGTTCCAAGAAGGGCAACTGGTACTATTGTTCAACCCACAACGAAAGAAAGGACTTTGCCCCAAATTGCAGACGCACTGGGAAGGACCCTACAAGATTGTCACGAAAATAAATGACGTCGTTTATCGCATCCAGAGGAGTGACAGTCCCAGATCGAAGATGAAAGTTGTACATTTGGAGCGGCTGGCCCCCTACGGAACGGGAACTGTGCCTATTCGGGACGAACAGGCTTAAGCGGGGGGCAATGTTACGAATATAACTATAGATTTAAGTTAATTTAGATGAATTCCGTTAATTTAAGAATTTGAATTGTAACGTAAATTTCTACTACGCAGTTTATTTGAATAACTTCACAACAACAACCACTGCATAGATTTTTCTACATCCTTCCATTTCCTCTTTCATTTTCTATTTTGTTATTGTCGTACAATTCTTGTTAAACGTCATTCCTCTTTCTTTGTTATTCCCTCGCCTGTATATGTGTTGTTGTTATTCCTCTTTCTTTGTTATTCCCTCGCCTGTATATGTGTTGTTATTGTAAGTTTGTTTACTCAAGTTTGTTGTTGTTATTGTTCACTCAGTAAGTTTGTTGTTGTTATTGTTACTCAATGTGTTTGTTGCATTGGTAGATTGTTCGTGATCTAGGTGTTACCAGATCGTCTAGAAACTTCTGTAGCGACAGGCAGGGCTCATATAAATAGAGGGAATGGAAAGGCAGTGAGTCAGTTGTGAATCAGATCGCGAATTGAAACCGTCGTGTAAAGTAAAGTGCAAAGTAAAGTTGTGTGAATAAAATCATTGTAATAATCGTAATCAGAAAGAACCCGCGTTTTATTTGGTACGAATTGTATCGGGAAATAAAACAACGTCTACAAGGGATTTAGTAAAATCTAAGAACGTAACAATATGAAGTCTGATATAGGGAACAATTCTGCATTATTAACTCAAAAATAACGATTTTTTTTATTTATGTCGGTATTGCAGCTAATGAGCGATATGCAATGTAAAAAAGTAGTAGACAAAATAAATTACTATCGAATGCAGTGATCCAAAAATTTACAAAGATCGAAATGTTTCTCTATACAAAACAGAACTCGATGACGAATTCGGTGATTTGGCTCCAGACTGACACTTGTTTCTTTAGAATTATAAATTTACATTGCCTCAAACTTCTTAACGAATTCCTCTATTAACACAAATAAGGTGTCATATTAATGGGCTAAATGTCTTTATTATAGTATCGACAACTTTTATTATAAAAAAACCTCTAAATGGTTTAATTTTTAAAAATATACTTTAAACAAAATTTCGTATATAAATTTTCATATTTATAAATTTTATTATCAGATATCGAAATTATTATTAACAGATATCGAAATTATTATTAACATACTACATCAAAAGATGACGCACAGGCAGAGCGTAACAAAAAATCAAGACTTTGATAAAAATTAAATAATTTGAAAACGTGTTGAGATATTTCGAACCAATCCAATGAATTTTGAATGTAATTTTCCACACAGACAATCACTGGGTTTGAACCTTTTAAATTCTCCAAAAATCGCAATTAGGTCAATAGTTATTTCAATTTTATGAATGTCAATTTGAGACCGCAATGCTATTGATAATAGAGTCGATGTAAATAGCGAAAGGGAAAAATTTATGTTCTGACATTTGCCCCATAACATTTAAACTGAACTTGGTGGTATTGTAATGAAATGTGTGTCATATAAAAGCTAAGAAGTCTGGCTATTTCAAATCGTGTTCGTATTTTCCTCATAAATGTGCGTAACATTATTTTGAAGGATACTATTAAATTTGCTGCTTCTATAATAAAGAAAAAAATATCCCCTTTAATTTAACACCTCATTTGTTGTAATAGAGCAGTTGGTTAAATTTTAACAGCTTGTGGAAGCCGATTCGTAAGCACTATAGGGGGTGAGGGTCATCGCTTTGCTTATTTTGGGTTAAGAGCTATGCTTACTTTTGATGACAAGGGGAAGGGGATAAATAATTGCAATAAATCTTCTTACGAAATACTTGTTAAATTTATAAAAAAATCTATTTAGTTTTTGCCGAATTATTTGCATTTGAATTCAACACTGATCCGAAATAAACTTGATGTTCTGTTCTGAACGCCCATTCCCTTAAAATGAAAAGCGCTCTTATACAAATGGAAATACAATTATTTCTTCATAATGGCTATAGTGTATGTATGTAATACACACAGACTGTGTGATTTGCCTAAAAGTATGCTATAATTTTCTTTACAATCCAACAGCCATTATGAAAAAATTGGCGTTTTGGAAATAACTCTGCGAATTCCTAACCGATTTTCATAATTTCTTAAGATTTATTCCATATTAACAATACAAATATAAACGTATGCTATATAAGAGAAAATTATTTTATTTTAAATATTGACCTTTTTTGTTGAATGCAAACAAAGTTGAAACTATCGTTGTTTGATTTACAAGAAAGTTAGGATAGCGTATCGTCTTCGACTTCAGCGCTTCTTTTGGCATCGTATATAACAGGAACATATGGTCCAAAAGCTTTTTCATATCCCCGTTGAATTATTTTCGTTCCAATAAGAGAAAATCAGCTCCGACGCAAAATAGAATAAATAAAAATGTATAGTCTAATTGATAAATTTCCGGATTATACTCGAGATTCAGTGAAAATCAGCATCCAGTTCTTTTAAACCCATTTAAAAAAGCATTCACAAAATCAACATTGAAGCATTTTCGTTTTTTTATAATTTGGTTTATTTAATTAAAAATATTAAACGATAGTAGAATAAACTCCATTGTGCGCTGATAAAATACAACACATCAAAGGAGAATGACTAAAAATACATTTAAGTTTAGATTTTTTGGTTGGTTGTTATTGGATGATGATGATGATATTGTTAATTGAATTTCAAAGAAACATACTTATATATATTCATGTTATACAGTAATTACATTCAGTTTTGATTTTGTTGTTGCTGTGATTTTTACAGCACACAAATATATTTTAAATGGCATAAATGTAAACTGCATTTGAACGAGTTAAGAAATATAGTGGTTATATAAACATATTCTAGATTCTATGTTCTGTCCTGCTTTGTTTTTTGCCTTTATCCTAAAAGTGATTGTATTCTTAAAAGCTGGATAAAGTGCATCATAGGAGAAAAAAAAAACAAAACAAACTATGACAAATAAGATAGGGGCTATATATCAATAATAGCAACCATTAACATGGCGTTTTATTAGATTAGTTATTGAATTCAAAACTTTGCATTCACAGTCCATCATCTAATTGTTGTTGTATTTGTGTTTTAAGTTTGAAGAAGCCACGGCCTCCCGATAAATTATTTGCGCTTTTTGCTGCCGCTGTTAGCAGAAGTAGTATTAGCATTGTGAGAAAATGAATTGTTGTTTGTCGCAGTACCAGTTGCCGCCACCAATTGTTGTGATTTAGTGGTATCATTCGATTTATTTTTAGTTTTGGCAACTGCAACGACGCCATTCCCACCACTATTACCACCGCCGCTGCCAGTTGTACACGCAGCGGTGGTAGCATTTTCTCACTTCTTACCGGGAGGCGCCAAAGGTTGGCCGCGATCCTTGCCACGCAATTTGATACCAATCACACGTTCGATTTTGCCAAGAATCAGATTATTGGGGATGCCACGACCAGCCTCATAATCTGTAACAATTTGTTGTTTTTCACAGATTTTCTGTAACCAAAAACATAAAGATATATTATTTTGTTATTATCGTGTTTTGGCGGGTTATATAGGTGACAACTTACAGTAGCGAGATCCTTTTGACTTAGGCCTTTAGCTTGACGTCCTTGCATTATAATTTTCCCAACTTCCAATGGAATTTTATCATGTTTCAGCTCTTCAGTTTCACGATCCAATTTGGCAGTATTCTTTGTTGTTACATGCTGTTTGTTGGTGCCAGCACCGACTGCAAGAAAATTTGTCGTATTAAAAATCTTGTAATATTACATGATAATTTTGTTGTTTTATTTTATTTATGTCCAATTGTTATATCTATGTCCAAAAAGAATTATCAGCATATACTTAATTTACAACGTTGTAATGTTTGAGCGGCGCAAACTCAATTTGTTTCATTTTTGCAATTTACATATTTACACATATTTAACAAGTCGTAATAACAAGTAAAACTGCATCGTTTTCTAAGCTACTATTCCGATTGGCTTGAATCCATGACCGAAGAAATATATAAAGAGAGTAAAAAATACAAAGTCGTATAATATTTCAGTATATTCTTTTTATTTTATGACACTCGTCAATGCTAGATATTTTGAATCGAAGAGTGTCATGCATTTTAAAAATTTTGCTTGGTTGGTTTCTATCTTAAAGTCATGTCTTCATAATGCTGTAGATATAATTTGACAGTGTAATTTGTGTATTTAATATAAGAAAAATTAGAGATTGTAAATTGCCTCTCGAGAAGTCTATCATATTTAAGTAAGTACAATAATGGTTTGTCATGTCAAATATGAAATCATTACCGTTTCATTTAGAAATAAGGAGGAAGTTATTTTTAATGAAAGACTGTTTAATTTATTTTTTGCTTAAGTTAAAGGCCGTATCTCTGGGCGATTTGAAACCTCGCTGGACCTCATTACAGAGATATATATTCATTCATAAATATATCTTGAGATATTGACCACCAAAATTCCGCTGGGACCTTGTATTTTCCCAAGCTTCATAAAATTTACTAATGGTATCAATTCGAAATGCTGATTACAATTATGAATTTTCATTACTTCAACATTCAACATAGTTCAACATTTTCGAGCCCACAGTGTTGGGAAATGATTAACTTATCGTTGGGTTATAACATCCATCACCATTATTAGCTTGTACAGAATCCTTAAGCACCTAGGTAAAATTATCAAATTTTAATATATTCCTCTAAAAACACATAGTCAGTAGCCCGAAGGGGGAGAAGGAAGACATTGTGGGTAATGAGACATTAAAATTTATTTCATTGTTTGACAAGGAATTATTATGTACAAAGAATTTATTGAAACTATTTATGTGGTTAATATATTCAAGCCTTCCGTGCGTTATATGCATATGTTGTTGCTTATATATGAGTATTCACTTTAATTATTTGACTGAAAATAGTAAACTACTACATTCTGATTTTTTTAGTACTTTCCACGTTTTCGTTAAATTCTCTTGTTTTTCTTTTCTGAGAAAATAAGGAAATATAGCTGCAAATATCTGATTTCAATTTTCAATAGATTATAGAATCGAGAATTTCCCACCTTCAGGGACGCATAAAATTTCAGAGTTTATTTTAAAAATGTATCATGAAATATACCGGCAAAACACACACACGTGTATTGGCTATGAAGCACCATTACACCAAATAAACTACAAACGACAAAAACAAAAAAAAAATATTTCTGAACTAATAAACACCAATGTGTGACTCTGTATTGACAAGAAGATTCGTAATTCATTCAAAGTATAAGTACTGCAACATTTTGACGATATGATGAAATTGAAGATATATACAATATAAAAAAGGAGGTCATTAGGCGCAGAGTTAAGAAATTAACCTAATTCTGTATATTGACAACGAATGCAATCGTCCGTCTTTCTCATTGTTCATAACCTATAAAATGCACTAAAAATATATATGAATTGTTGACTTACATTTCTGTGTAGTTTCCACAGCTTGACCCTGACGACGGGCTTGATTAATTGCCGACTCCGATTTAAGAACAGAAGCCTTGGGAGCTTTCTTCCTTATAACAGTAACTGTATCCCAATCCGACATGTCTACCTCTTTACTTCTTTTTTATATTCTTACGATACTATAAAACAATAAAATGAAATTTGTACACAAACTTAATATCAGTCTTTGAAATGGATGTATGTCACTGTTGTTCACAGTTGGGTGAAATGATTCGAGAAATGTATTCTTACAATTTATTAGTAGTTTAAAATATATATGTTCAATATTTTCTTATATTCCAGAAGAATCCAAAATAGGGACAAGTAAATCGACTTTTGACTAAAAAAACAAATGCCAAACAACGTTACCTAAATTCCAACGAGGCGCACAAAATTATATGTGGCAAAATGTTTTGTACGTCCGTATTAAGCTGTGTACACACTAGCACTTTTAAATGGCGCTCTTGCACAGATTTTGCTTGTTCGATAGTGTGGACTCTAAAAGTTTCCACACACTATATATCATGCCGTACAGCATTTATCATATTATGTGTGATTTTTTGAAAGTTTGTTTATGTATCTGTGACACACACAATGCATGAAGAATATCAAAATAGTTTTGATTTTGAAAATGAAACCCTTTCAATCTCGTGAATTTTATTTATTTTCAATGTTGACAGTAAATAATTTTGAGTAAACATATATTTAAATTGTGATGAAATAAAAAATAACTGAATTTACGACTCAAAATTTGATTTATTGGACAAAAATCATTTTCTTACAATTTTAAGGCAACAACAACATTGAGGAACAAACTTGAAAAATTATAAAATGTGTAGAATTGAGGAACAAACTTGAAAAATTATAAAATGTGTAGAATTATTTCATATTCTTATTTCTTTACAGGCTTCCCTAAAATTCAACTAGCTCGTTCGACGTTTTTCACCACAATAGTAGAACACATGTATTTATATGAATGTTACCGAAATACGTCGAACGTATAAAATTTCAAGTTGAAAAATTTCAACTTTGACAGAACGTATTTTTCATTTTTGTGGATTAATTTAATAAATTTTCAATTTTGTGTTGCGGTTTGTATATGGATTCGACGTATTTGGGTAATAAAGGGCTAAGCAGAATGCTCGCGTTGAGCCATCCGTTGCGTTAAGTGTTATCGAAAATACAAAAACCACAAGGAAACGATAACACAAATGCTCGAAGTTGATGTGCGCTGCGCTTCGGAGTTAAATATATTTTAACTTTTTGCGTGCGTTAACGCGATAACAAAAAACGTTCAACGCGAACATTCTGTTTAGCCCTTAAGCCGTACAGAACATTTTGCATGGTGGGGAAGTTGAATATTTTTGTAATGACAGCTCGTTTTAATTTGTAATTCATATATCAATTTCAAATATGAACCCATTAAGGCCGATTTCAATTAAATTGCAAACTATACTACTCCATTTAATATTCCTAAAAGTATACGAACAAATTCCAGTAAAGTCAAAATGAAGTTTCAATAAATGATTTTTAGTTGATTTTTTTTTTGCAATGTGGTGTGTACTATTAACAAATATTGAAACAATTATAATACGTTACTGAAAACGAGCATATTAATGAGTAGATTTCACTTTGTGAGGCAAATCGAGGTAAATTAACTAGAACCGGTACAATGTAAATGTACTTTAAGGTGAAAACACATATTAGGATTTCAGGATATGCGTTTGTGTTATCGTGTTATCTTGCACAGATTTTGCTTGTTCGATAGTGTGGACTCTAAAAGTTTCCACACACTATACATCATGCCGTACAGCATTTATCATATTATGTGTGATTTTTTGAAAGTTTGTTTATGTATCTGTGACACACACAATGCATGAAGAATATCAAAATAGTTTTGATTTTGAAAATGAAACCCTTTCAATCTGGTGATTTTTATTTATTTTCAATGTTGACAGTAAATAATTTTGAGTAAACATATATTTAAATTGTGATGAAATAAAAAACAACTGAATTTACGACTCAAAATTTGATTTATTGGACAAAAATCATTTTCTTACAATTTTAAGGCAACAACAACATTGAGGAACAAATTTGAAAAATTATAAAATGTGTAGAATTAAACGACTTGTACATTAGAACTTTTTACAAGGGTAAACCTTCTTTATGAGGATGTAACGTACTGTAAACGTACTGTTATTTCATATTCTTATTTCTTTATGTTTTGCCATGGCATAATTATTGAAGGTAGTCACATTTGAGAAATTAATAATGACAGCTAGTTTTAATTTGTAACTCATATATCAATTTCAAATATGATAAAAAATACATTGGCACATTTTCGAATAAATTAAACATTTTTATTTTCTGAAGCTGCACATTGTTTTAAAAATTGAACTCTATGTGTAAAAACTTATATTTATCGGTTTTAAAGACAGGGTACTTCAACATATTAATAAATGTAAATGATTTAAGAATTTTGCCGCTGGACAAATGATGTGCGTAAACTTCGAATAAATCGAGATTTAATTTGGTGTTGTAAATGGTCTAAATGCGCCTTTTTTGATATATTATTGGATTTCGAGAAAATGATGATAATTAGTGTGTTTGCTTACTTTTCTAGCAAAAATTACTCAGTCACATCTCTCAAGGAAAAATATTTATTTTTTATTTATTCCAAAAAATGCAATTTGAACCCATTAAGGCCGATTTCAATTAAATTGCAAACTATACTACTCCATTTAATATTCCTAAAAGTATACGAACAAATTCCAGTAAAGTCAAAATGAAGTTTCAATAAATGTTTTTTAGTTGATTTTGTTTGCAATGTGGTGTGTACTATTAACAAATATTGAAACAATTACAATACGTTACTGAAAACAAGCATATTAATGAGTAGATTTCACTTTGTGAGGTAAATCGAGGTAAATTAACTAGAACCGGTAAAATGTAAATGTACTTTAAGGTGAAAACACATATTAGGATTTCAGGAGGGGAACGATATGCGTTTGTGTTATCGTTTCCTTGTGGTTGTTGTATTTTCGATAACATATAACGCGACGGATGGCTCAAGACATGGCCTATAAATAAGGTCACCAAGATAGCAATCGAAATCGGAAAACAGCTGTTTTTTCTCAAGTCTAATGTCAAAAATTTCGACTTTGTTTACGTTTTCATAATGGACGTCAATTCACAATAATGCATTTTGACAGCAAACTTGAGAGGTATCGATAATCAGCTGGTCTCCCTTGGTGACCTTATTTATAGGCCATGGGCAAAACAAAGCGAAATTGCAACTGCAGTTTTGTTCAAAGACATAGGCATGGCCTATAAATAAGGTCACCAAGATAGCAATCGAAATCGGAAAACAGCTGTTTTTTCTCAAGTCTAATGTCAAAAATTTCGACTTTGTTTACGTTTTCATAATGGACGTCAATTCACAATAATGCATTTTGACAGCAAACTTGAGAGGTATCGATAATCAGCTGGTCTCCCTTGGTGACCTTATTTATAGGCCATGAGTCCAAGATCTATTAATAAGGTCACCAAGATAGCAATCGAAATCGGAAAACAGCTGCTTTTTCTCAAGTCTAATGTCAAAAATTTCGACTTTGTTTACGTTTTCATAATGGAAGTCAATTAACAATAATGCATTTTGACAGCAAACTGTTCCACTGTTCTTTTGAATCTCTCTCTCTCTCTTTTATTATTTTTTTTTTCGTTTTTCCATATATAGTTCCTTTGCTCCATATAGTTCCTTTGATCCATATAGTACCTTTGCTCCATATAATTCCTTTAGTTCATACAATTTCTTTGCTCCATATAGTTCCGACTCCTACATAGTTCTTTTGAATCTCTCTCTTTCATCATTCTTTTTTTCGTTTTTCCATATATAGTTCCTTTGCTCCATATAGTTCCTTTGCTCTTTATAGTTCCTATGCTCCAAATAGTTCCTTTGCTCCATATAGTTCCTTTGCTCTTTATAGTTCCTTTGCTCCATACAGTTCCTTTGCTTCAAATAGTTCAAAAAAGGAACTGGATCAGAGAAAGGAATTATATTAATTAAAGAACTGGAACTAGTTCCGTTCGTTCCTTTTTCGGAATAGTTCCAATGAACTAGTTCGTTCCGGAACTACCCAACTCTACAATATAGATTATTCATACCACCTTTTGATTGCAACTAAATTGTTTTGCTTCGCCTTCTTAACTAATTTTTCTAGTTTTTTATAATTTATATCGGACAATAATGGCTGATGCCGAAGCCAAGGATAATGAGTCTGGAGAGGAATCGCCCGAATTATCTGTTGTCGCAGCGAACTGCCAAAAAGCGGCAGCTATGCCCAACGTTATACCCGGCGAAAAGTTAAGTTCCATCGAGGAAATAGTTCAAAATGATCCTGAATGCTATGAATTGGATTTAAATCATCATCGCATAGAAAAACTTGAGCATTTGGAACCATTGAAGAACATTGAACGTTTGGGTTTTCGATGGAATTTGATCAAGAAAATTGAAAACTTGGACACCTTAACAACATTGGTGGAATTGGAGTTTTACGATAATCAATTGACGAAAATTGAGAATCTTGATGCATTGGTCAATCTGCAAATATTGGATCTGAGTTTTAATCGTATCACCAAAATTGAAAATTTGGAGAAGCTTACCAAACTGGAGAAGTTGTTTTTGGTTGCCAATAAAATTACACAAATCGAAAACATTGAGATGCTGACAAATCTAACAATGTTGGAGTTGGGTGATAATAAAATAAGGCGTATTGAAAATCTGGATACACTTGTTAACCTACGTCAATTGTTTTTGGGTAAAAATAAAATATCCAAAATTGAAAATCTCGATAAATTAACAAATTTGGAGATACTGAGTCTTCAAGCTAATCGTATTGTAAAAATTGAAAATCTGGAAAAACTTACCAATTTATCGGAATTATATCTCTCCGAGAATGGTATAGAGAAAATTGAAAACTTGGAAGCCAACACGCAATTGGATACATTGGATTTAGCCAAAAACCGTTTGAAAACCATTGACAATATATCGTGTTTGGAACAATTGGAAGAATTATGGTTGAATGATAACTCTATAGATGATTGGAAAAATGTGGAAATCCTCAAGGGCAGCAAATCATTGAAAACGGTGTATTTGGAACATAATCCCTTAGCCAAGGATGTTATGTATCGGCCAAAGTTGAAAGATATTGCCCCATGGTTGCAGAAAATCGACGCTACCTTATGTCGATAAATTATGCCATATACGTAAATTATTTCATCATTTTGTTCATTATCTAAGATAGTGTCTTCTTCATTCGTATGCGTCATAAAAGTTCTTAAAGGAATTAAAATAAATTATCGAATGTTAGTGTGATTTTGTTTTTATTTTTTCCACATTTTTAATATCTAAAAATAATTAAAAATATGTTTGACTATTAATTAGGAAACAAATGAAAATTGAAATAAAAACTTACTACATATATGTTTTCGATATGAAATGTCTGTATATCCATGTTAATGTACACTTATCATTTTCTAGTATTTGTAATAAAACCAACCAGCATTATTAGTGGAAACCATGTATTTATATTTTAATTATGGAGTAGATATATGCATGGAAAATATATCTTCAATCAGATCGATTTTTTTTTGCATTTATCAGTCGAGTTGTTTTCATTAAATGTAAAATGACGGGATCAACTATGGGATAACCTAAACCCTCCTTCAGGATGATGTGTATAAAGGATAAGAACTCCCGAACAGAAGGACAATCATAAAGGTTTTTTATACCCTCCATCATGAAATGAATATTAAAATATTCGTCGGAGATCCAATTGCGATAGAAATATTTAATTAGAACCTTCAAATTTGGTACATAGTTGCTACTACTACTATTATGATGTTTGGCAAAGCAATTGGGATATACCGGTCCCTTTTTGTATTTTTCATGGTTTTAACGGTATTTTGAAACCGTAAGAACAATAATTTGACGTTCTGGGTTCTCTGGGAGAGAAATCATTAAGTCGACTATTTTACGTAGCCCCCATAAAGGTAATGGATTGTAATTTGGCATTCAGAGTTCTTGGAGTATCAGTTTTGACATAGCCCAATACTAAGGTCTATTTTAATATTCGGTATGTTGAAGTCCCTAACCCATTTTTTCAAAATTTAAATTTGGTATAGCAATGAACAAACGGTTGACTAAAGGCATCCGTACATAATAAATCAAAAGTAGATGTGTAATCTAGATTAAATATTTTATATTCGAAACTTAAGTGTACATTCTTCAAATTAAGCTCCCAAAACAAGGATGCGGTGATAACACCCCACATGTAATTCTAAAAAGTGTGAGTTTTTGTAAAAAAGATTTATTTTATTGTATTTCCCTTAAATGACAGAGATGAAAAGGAAAAAATAAAGTATTTTATATATTTATATGTGTATCTGTGTATGTTTATTATGGTGGGTGGTGAGTGTGTGTGTAAACTACGGATATGCTGTATAGTTTATAAATTTATTGATATACGATGTAATTCAAATCAAAAATTATAAGAACGAAGAAATTTATAATGCCAAGCTTTTTATTATATTACTTTATTGCAATTAAGAAACCTATTTATAACATAAAAGTCTTAAAGAAAATGATATTTGATATTTGTTGTATTACAATAACACATTTGCATGATTTGATCAAAAAAGTAAAACTAAATATCTGAAAACGGCGTAATCACTCCGACAATCGTATTAAAATTAATAATGAAATTAAAATAAAATTAATTACATCAAAAAAGAAAATGTATGTAAACAAAATTTAGCAAAACAAGAGAATATATATATTTTTTTGTAATTTTAAGGTCAAACTTGATTACCACACAACATTAAAGAAAAAAAAAATTTTTTTGATAGAAATCCATTTTCCATTCCTCACCTATCATCATATTCATATGCTTAAACTGATGTGACTGATTGTGTGTGAGCTAAGAGAAAATGTTTTCATACATATTTATGTTTATCATCTTTTAAAGAATTGAATATTCCACAAAAGAGGCATGATGTATGTTACTGGTTTATAACTATTTTTTTGTTTGTTTGTTTGTTTTTTTATAACTTTAAATAAAAAGTCGAGATTTAATTTGAAGAATTGCTAGAGGGACCTTCGGTTTTTGCTGTTGATGAAGGTGATGACTTTCCAGCAGCTTCTTCTTTGTTGGAAGATGCACCAGCTGACGAACTTGGGGAAGCATTAGCTGCAGTTGCGCCCGCTGTTGTTGTCGCTGCTGAAACACCTATAGATGGTGAAACTAGTGAATAAACAAAAGAACAAAAAAAAAATAATAATAAATAAAAATTAAACCAAAAATATAAAAACAAAATATGTTCTGCACTAAAATAAAATTAATAAATAAATGTGTTCACATACCACGAACGTCAATAGCATAGCAATCATCAAGCCTAAGATCGTGTTTTTTTATTAGCTGGCATTCAGCACCCTCGACTGAAGGAATGGAATATACATACAAATAACCATCCTGGGAAGCAATCAAAAGCCTAAAAATGAATGTTAATTTAATTGGATTATTGAAACATTTCAAATATCTCAGATGTCTGGCTGGATTCACAACAATATGTTTTCTTATTTGGCTAATTGCATATGATTTGAACTCACCTCAATTGCTTTTGAATTTTTGCTATGGCACACATACGCCTAATACCCGCTTCGGGTAATGTTACAGAAGCAAATGCACGACCTTGACTAAAGACATCCGTAACTTGAGTTGGCAAATAGTTGGAAACAGTCTTGCTGAGAAATCTAAAAAACGAGTAACTTTTTTGAAATATGGAAACGCGAAGTTAAATTGTTTGCAATTGTGTATGTATGGTGGATATGGTAGGGAGTTAATAGTACACAATATACATTGACCAGGATATTTTTTGTACACAATAATAAATAAAGTTATTATAATAAAGTTATTCGCAAGAATAGAGTAGTTACAAAGTAAAAAACAAATATAAATCGATAATGGATGTTATAGTCGTTGGTTGATTGAGTAGTGTGAAAATATGAAAAAGATAGAAAAAGAGAAAATTACAGAAAATATGATTAAATAAAAATATAATAAATAATAAGAAAAAACAAAATGAACAAAAGACAAGTAGACGGTAAATTTTCTAATATTTTTTAAACATGACACATGAGGTTTTTTTGGTATATAAGAAATATGCAAAAGTGTGAATTCCATTAATATCAAATTAGAATTTCAATGTAGATTTTAGATTTTTGGATATTATTAATATTTTTGTAGAAAAGAAATGAGCATTTAAAGAATTGTAAGGTATTAGTGTAAATTTTTTTTTTTTTTTACCTTAGTACATTTTAAATATATACATAATAATTTACAACAATATGCAAAATCCAATCAAATTTAACACACAAAAGTTAATAAGCTACAACCATGAAGTTAGTAAATATCTGACACTAAACACGAACAGTGCTAAATCGTATTAATACATTAATAGACTTACCCCATCCAATCATCGGATGTTTGTTTCGTATCATTACTATCTGCTGAACTACGATCCAAACGAAATATGTGTATTGTTTCAGTATTTGAACTAGAAACTAAATATTCAGCACATGTACTAAACGACAATGAAGCAATCGAAACACAACGTTTAAGTCCTCGTCTCAATTCAAATAGCTTTGTTCCGTCTAATGATGAAAACACTCTAATCACCGTACCACGTTCACTTGCTGTTGCAATTTCGGTTCCTGAAGGACTGAATGCCAATGCCGCCAATGGACTATCATGAGCTGGTATCATTGTTTTCGCATGCAAATTAATTGCATCGAAAATTTGCACTTCGCCCGATGTTACACTGCCCGGATAGGCAAGATAACAGTGATCCGATGATGAACTTAAAGCACAAAGACCTGTTGAATTACATGGTGTATCGCGTATAGTGTGTACGACTTTCATATCTTGTATATTGTGTATATAGAGACTTTCTTCGAGACAGACAATCAAACGGGCACGATTAAGTTTTACAGCCAATATGGAATTTGAATATGAATAATTGCATATCTCACTTTGTTTCTTAAAATGGCAGACCTAATATAAGAACAAGAGCCATTTCATTCGTTTTCAAAATGTTTACTATATTTACAGCATACCTTCAGTTTTCTTGGAGCTCTTTGAGAAACAATAGCCACAAGGGAACTTTCGAAAAGACGCTCAATTAGAAAAATTTCTTCTGTGGGACAAGTGTAAATTTTATCTAGAGTATTATCTACCGAACCGAGACTGTATAGACTGTAACCAGATTTCGTGCCAACAGCTAGGGAGCTAATGAAAATAAATTGTAATTTAAATTATGTATTTGTATTTGCAATCGCACTAACAACTTACGTTATATTTTGATTGAAGTTTACAAATACTTCACCAGCATCCATGTCTGGTCTAAAAAGTAGACTCATCATTGAAAGCAATTGTTGCAGTTGTTGTTATATGAAAACTGTATTTTATCGATATTTGATTATACGAACTTAAGCCTGACTGCCTGAAAATAAAATTCATAAATAAAACATTCAAATATATAAGGGTAAAATAATGGTTACATTTATTACTTATACAATATAATCACTATTCGAACAATGTTATAATAATAATGGAAACTTCAATTCATGATCAATATCAAGTTTAAATAAACGTCGATCATTTTGATATTAAAATTTAGCCAAATAATACCAGATATATGTATGTACGTGTGTAAATGAAATATTTTCCAGAACTACAACATTTTGATGAATAACATTCGAATATTTTTTTACCATGGACCTAAGGTTATCCACCAAAAAAAAAAAAAAAAAAATTAAATTAATGCTGACGTCTTTCTTAACATTTTTTATTTAAATTATTAAAAAATTCTATATATGATTTGTTTAGAGACGTGAACGAATTTCGTCAGGTCATATCTATGACTAGGTGTCAAATATGAATTCTTTTTTTCTCATAGGTTAAATAATTTCATATACATTTTCAAGACTTAAGCAATTGCGACATATTATTTTATATATAGCAGATATATTGCATTCTCCGAGAACAGAAGCTTTAAATCTATGAAGTGATTCAAATATGTATATATTTAATACGAAAAATCGCCTTTTCGCATAAAGGTAGTCCTAGTTTTGTTGTCCACCCAACCACACCACTACCACAACACAGACAGCAAAGTGTCAATTATTCTTTGTGTTGCATTTTGACAATGAATGCATTGGGTCTTTATAAACCTTCACAATACGCATTTTTTCCTCTTTGGTTTTGCAAAACGAAATTTAATTTACATTTCCAAAATGAATATAAAGAAAATATATGCAAAATAACAACAACACTATGGCCAGACAAATAAAAAAAAACAATTTGAAATACAATAACAAACAAAACTGATATGAGAGCAACGAAATTCATTTCATTTCAAGTCTATTTATGTTCGTCATCCATACGCTATTTACCACTTACCCACAAATATAGGAATAACGAAAATAATTGTTTATTTATGTTGTTTGTTTTGTAAGAGTTATTTGTAAATATCAAATATTTTTTTGCTTATGGCTAATACCAAATTAAACTATGTTTTTAATGAAATTTAATTGAATCCAGTTGTGTTTTGTTTTTTTTCTAAAAGGCGCAGTTGTATATAGCGACCAAAATTAAAAACGTTCCACCTGCTACAAATGGGAAGAAAAAGAATACCCAATAACGAAGGAAGGAAGGGGACATGGGAGAAAGACAATTGAACTCTGTTCAATTGAATGATATCCTGAAGAGACTGCCTGAAGTAAATTTGGGGCTATATAATTACTCGTGTGTTATCTGAAATTACTAGTGTGTTAATTGAAATGAAAACCATTTATCACAGCATTCATCTGGAATAAATTACTCTGTTAATATGAAACAAACCTATCATGGTATTTCGTACTCAAATTATGACGTTGGAATCAATTTACTCCTTTTTAGTTATGTGTTGAAAGAATGTCAAATTAACACAACATGCTTTTTCCTATATTTATCTGACGCAGAAACGGATTTGAATAATACGACAACTAAATCCACTCGATCTCAAAAATCAATTCCTTAGTGTATACGTCACCTTAAAAATGTTCAAAAATCCAGTATTTGACGTACACGCCATGCAATTGACCTTTGTGTTCGAGTGGATTTAGTAGACTAAACGCGCTCTTATTCAACTCCGTTTCTGCGTTAGATATAAAATAAATATACTCAAAAACTTTTTGTGTTTTATTATTTGACATTTAATAAATCTTTGAAAAACCACTGCACATAAACAATAACAATTTCTTAAATTTCATAAATTATTTTCAGAGTATATGAGGGTCGTATGAGGGTCGTAACTAAATTCATGCGTATGCGGACGAATTTATTCACCTCAAAAGTTAAATACATGTATTTCAATGAATGTTATCCAAATACGCATTGCGTGTTAAAATATAAAGTTGAAAATTTTCAACTTTGTCAATGCGTATTTTGAAATTTTTGTTTTTTGAAAATAGAATTTCAGTCATTGAAAATTTTGTGTTTCTATAATGCGGTGTACACACTAGCATTTTTGAATGACACTCTTGCTTAAATTTTGTTGTTTGATAGTGTGTCCTCATATGTTTGTCCTTCATCAGGCAACCACAAAAATATTTATGGTTGTTGTACAGTCAGTAATCGATTAAAAAGTTAACAGTCAAAAATGATAGTGTGTACATCGCTTAAAGCTAATCTTTTTTCGATCAATTAAAAACATGTTTTCGTCCATTTTCACCGTTTTCAATTGGCACAGATCCAAATAAAGTCCTTGTGTATTTGGGTAATACGGACGTCTAACAAACCCTATAAAGGTGAGAAGGTGAGTATTTTTGTACGGAGCGCAATAAATTTGGTGAGTATTTTTGTACGGAGCGCAATAAATTAGGTACGACCCTAATCCAGTTTGTCTGTACATATGACATTATTTAAGGATTTGTCACACGAGACATCAATGTCAAATGTGCTGTCAGTTTTTCTGTACATACGACGTTTTGTATGTATGCCAAATTTTTTTCTTTACTTGATTTTAAATGTCAATTCCACATTATGGCTCGTGTAAAGATGCTTTCTTTAAACGTAATGTAGAGCTCTCTCAATTGTGGAAATGTGCTATCACTCTTACTACAATTTAAGGTGAAGAAGAAGACTTTCAATTGTCTGTCTCCCTTTCCACCTTTCTCAACAATCAACGATGTCAACAATATTTTTCCGTTCCGCTTTGAGTTCTTTATTTTTGTAGCAGGTGGAACGTTTTTGGTTTCGGTTGCAATTTCATCTGCGGCCTTTTAACACAGCACTACTGGTTTTAATTTCGCTGCAAACAATTAAGATTAACATATCTAATTTTAAATATTAAATGTGCAAATATGAAAGAGAATAAAATAATAAAATTGGTGCATGTTGCATGGCGTGAACGATGGTCGGACTCACAATGGGGCATAAATATAAAAAATGTATGTATAGAATTGTGATAATGCTTTCTTTTATTTGGAAGATGAGAATTTTTAGCTAATAATACAAATAATATTGAATATCCTATATTGTACCATCGAATGTTGGATTTTCTGTTTTTGACAGAGCCAAAATTAATTGCCTCTGTTTCATGGTCAAGTTGCGCGGTATACGAATTTTAATCACAACAATATGGTCGCCAGCCCCATCTCCCCGGCTACGAATACCTTTTCCTTTTAGTGTTATTTTTGTGTGTGACTCTGTGCCCGGTTCAATTTTCAAGTCTAAATTCTCATAAATACCACGAACTTTAACTGTGCCGCCAAGTATTGCTTCAGTTAGGTTTACATATTTTTCGGTAACAACATTATTACCAATCCGATGATAGTAGTCGGATTCTTGAACTTGTATGCGGTAGCTAAGTCGTTGACCATTTTTAGAATTTTCCACGGACATAACATCACCAGTTTTTACTCCTGCCGGTATATGGATTGTTATTCTATTAGATTCCTGAACAAATCCACGACATTCGCAGAGGTCGCATTGATTGCGATTTACAAATCTCTTTCCATTACATTGGTCACATACGGAGACGGCAGTATAGGTTGCTGTTTTCTTCTTTAGTTGTCCATAACCATTACATTTACGACATGGCTCAACACTAGTTCTTCCCGCCATCCGTAGGGAGTTGCCATTACACTGAGGACACTTGATTAAATATTTCAAATCAATGTTTCTCTTAACACCATGCACTGACTCAAGAAACGTAATGTCGAGTTTTTGTTCAGAATTTACAAAATGACGTATATCTGATGGAAGAAGAATGGAATTTATTATAGTTAAATCCCTTCACACTGTTTATACTTACCATCATTTATTGATGGTGCCGTCATTGTTGGTATTGAAGTAGCTTTTGAGGCTGTCAAATCCTTAAAACTTTTCAAAACATTTGGTATTTTTATTGTATATTCCTTTCCATGATTTTTTGTATTCATATTGTTTAGAAATTGTTCTTCATCTCTCACTTGACCTAACTGATCGTATTCCAGACGTTTCGTTTCATCGGTAAGAATGTGGTAGGCATTTGAAATTTCTTCGAAACGTTTCGAAATTTCTTTGTTATCTTTAAAATTTGTTGAATCAGGATGAAAACGTTTTGCCAACGCATAGTAAGCAGCCTTTATCTCTTGCGTTGTTGCTTGTCTCTGAAGTCCCAGAACCTTATAGTAGTAATCTTTGGGCAATTGTTTTGGTTGTTTCGATTCGGTAATCAATTCTGATTTTTGTTGTCCATCAATACGAAGTTTTTCATTTCGACGATCGGGATAATAAATTGGTCTTTCCACTTTGAATTGATATGCGGCGGTTGCGAGATGTACTTTCTGAATAATACCGAAATTTTGCTTTAACTGGTTGGGATATAGATATGTTATTTTTATTAAATGTTTCATTTTAGATGATTTAACGACAGAAATTGGAAATGTGTGTGTATGTTGTGTTTTCCATTTTTTATGTTTATTTAATTTGAAAACTTTTTCCATGACATTCGATCTTTAAACATAAATTAAAAAATATGTCAACCAATAGACCCATGAATTTTATAAATCTTCCATATATATATATGCTGCGGTACTTTAAAATGGATTTCTTTAGTGCGGATCCATTATTTTTTTTGCTTCCAAGATAAACACTATAGTAGCTTATTTGATCGATAATATCCGCCTGCCTATCTTACGCAGCAGTATATGCATGAATGAATGAATTGCAACGCTCTGAAAATGGGATTTCTTTTTTATTTAATTTTTTGATTTACTACTATGGGAGTTATAACACCGTTTGGCGGAACGAAGATAGGGCCATGATCTGAGTACAACATATATAAATCACTCATGATTTAATCACCTACAATACCATGTAGCCGTACATATCGCAATTTCCTAAACATTTTCAGACAAACACTTGAAGGTAGTCAAGATTTCGTCGAATTTTTGTCATTCCCATAATCATACTGTATATACATACAGATTCGATTCCGTGATAGATTGGAAGTACCATCACCTTAACATAATGTTATTTTACAATAGTGTTAATCTTAACAAATATTATTTACAGGTAATACCTCGAGGTGTTAGCGGCGATGTTTACAATTTATCCGACTGTATTCTACAACAGGCCTTGATTGGATCCACTGCTAATCCTGTATGTGAATAACATTATATCTCTCTCAATTTTATTAGCTCAGATTGTAACCAATATCTTTCATTTTAGATGATTTTAAATTATTTAAAACATTCATTGTGTGCCCACTTAGTTTCATATGCCGCCGTGCTGAGGCGTATTGCAAAATATGAACATTTCGATCGAATTTATTGCCTGACCTCGTTATTGGATTTTGTCGATTCAATTTTAGATGGTGTTTCATGTCGGTAAGTTTTTTCTTTTTTGGTCTAGTAAACTCCTTTGTTAATCCCCTTTTTTATCTAAATTTTTCAGCACCAAAGCCGAAGAATCAATGTTGCCTGGTGCAATTGTTTCTTTTGTCGATTGGTTAATGCACATCTTTGCCACGATTACCACCAGCTACGAAATGAATCGTGAACTAAGTGCAGAACATTCATATTTGTTTGATCAGTGTTGTGCGGTTATTGAAAAGCTAGTTAAGAATCAATTTATACTGGCGATTCTGTTTGTGGGAAGACAAGAGGCGCCCGATAATTATAGTAAAATACGTGAAAATTATGCCACAATCAAGACATCTTTGACAAATTCAAATTTTACACCACCTCATCCGTGTGTTGAGAAATATCTTCAACAATTGGCATACATAGATGTCCATCATTTGGATATGAAGATACTTGATGTCCAGCCGTTGCCAGAACCAATATCGTATTGTGTGCAACCCTTGTTGGCAGTGGAAGTTTTACTGAATCCTTGCAATGATACATCATATTATGTAGCCGAAATGCAAATGTTGCAGCGATTGAAAAAGTTTTCCAATACTCGTCTCTATTATGAAATAATACGTGCTGGTTTTGTGTCGTTGAGTAGTTCGGTAACAAGTCATGACACCATTTGGGGTGCATTTACCTTTTTCAAGGTTCCACAGATTATAAAACAGTTACATGCGCAAAATAGAGGTGAATATTTGTGTGTGTTCTTTTAGATTCATAAATTCATTATTTTTTATTATTTTTTTAATTTCAGCTCCTTCTGAACAAACCCCAACTGATTATATCCCAGAAGTCGTTGAGGCGTTTGAAATGCTTCTTGAGGATAATCTCCTTTTGGATTTAATGGATTCAAAATGTTCTTGTAACATCATTGATTTTACACTTAATGATTGGGCCAAACAGCATTTGGTCAGTGAGGTTCATGTCAAACATTTTGCCGCCCAACGAGAACAGGAAGCCTCATTGCTTTTGCAAAAACGTGAATGGGGTAATCAAACAAATTCCATAATTAATTATATTATACGTGCTGAAGTTCCATTGTCGGGTATTTTGAAGACACTTTGCGCAGATTACAATAAAATGCAAGAGGCATTGTTGGGAGTACTGTGTCAAGTGTTAGTGGGTAAGTAGCACTAATAAAAAGTACCAAAGGTCTGAAAACTTATTAAATAGACTTCGTTGCAGGTAACAGTTTCGATTTAATATTATCTGTGGGCGCTGTCGAAGGCCGCTTAAAAACATTCGTACAACGTCTAATACAATGCAATGAAAATTCTAAACAAATCCCAGGCGAAGTGGGCAAAACGAATATCATACGTTCTGCATTTTTTGATGTTTCATTTCTGATGTCGATCTCCATTGTTCAGACATATGGTTCCCATGTAAGTTTGTAGATATTTGTAACGAATAGTTTGGAATAACATATTGTAATTTTTTTGCTTTTTTAGGCTGTCCTCCCAGATAATGGTGATACCTTTATTGAGAAATGGGTACGGGATTATATGGTTGAACGAAATAAACCAAAAAATCCCCGCAATATGATTGCAATGTGCGATGATAATATTGTGGAAGAGTTATTGTTGACCTTCAGCAAGCCCGATGCACAAATTAAAAACTCGTAAGTTGGTCTACATTTTGTGGTCTTTAATATTTAATATTTTTTATTTGGATTTTATTAAAAAGTATATACTTAAATGCAATCTGAATAATATATCCTATTTTATATTCTTTTAGTAATCTAACATGGCAAGATATTTGTATTAATATACCCGGCGTTATTAATCATGTTCTGAGCTCATGGGAAAAAGAAACGTTGTCGGCGGCCGATGTTAAGAATATATTGGATAATATAAAGAGGCGTATGTTTACATTTTCTGTCTGTGCAACGGCATTCTTGAGGGCGTATATGCATTCCGTAACAGATGTAAGTAACATAAAAATATATAATATAAATTTTATGCCTGTAAAATTGACTGTTTCAAAATTTTTCTAGAAAGATCTTTTGAAACCACTAAATATGATTCAGCAATTTCTTACCCCACCGGGTAATGAGGAAATGTCCGCACAGGAATATGTTAAAGAACGATTAGGTCTGTCTTTTCAAATTATACGAAAAATGCAATATGACGCCCATCCGACAGGCAGTTTAAAGTCACGCATTCTGACATTAACACAAAATTTGGTGTCTCGGAACCCATTAGTTGAACAGTTCAAAGAAGTTTGGAGTACCATAGCCAATCATGGCTGGGTACCACCAAGGGCTGCCCAAGTTCTGGAATCCCTATTGCATGCTGGCGGACCAGCATGGCTTTCTTCGCAATTGGTTGAAGAAATGCTGAAATGTAAATATAAAAAGGTAAGCACTCCACTCTGCTTAGGGGCGATTTTAAAAGAGAAATGTAACCTCTGGCATTTTATATACATATTCAAGGATATGATGAAGGCAATGGACATAATTTTTGCAATTTCCCATTTGGATATTGAACGTATCACAGAGGCTCTGCTAACCAATGTTGTACCATCGATTATCAACAATCGTCAAGGGTAAATAACATATGCAAACATTTGAATACATAATTATTAAATTTTTTATTTTCTATCAGAGAGGACGTCAATGAACCCCACTCCTATGTCTTAGCAAGATTATGTGTTTATTGTGTTATATCGGCATTGGAGACACGCAATCAACCACTCCAAAAGAAACGTTCACGCTCCCATGACGGGGATGATCATGAACTAAATAATGCGGCTAAAATGCGTAAAATTGCAACCGATGGTTCAGACAATTCCTGTTCCAACGATTTTCTTACCGAAAACAGTTTACTGCTAGGCTCTAGCATAACGGCATTACATGCAAATAATATGCATGATACCGCAGCAGCACAATTAAAAGAACCCCTGCAATCATCAATACAATATATTTTTAAAATATTTCAACATTTTGTTGCCAGTGATGAACTATCACCAAAAATATATTTTGTCTATCAGTTCATAACACTACTCGTCGAGTGTGGTAAAGAACGTGCCAGACCAATACTTAAATTATTGCCAGCAAATCTTATGCATAATTTATTGAAATTAATGTTAACCGATGACATTAATGTCGGTTTGATTGCAAGGTGGGTGGTTCTGTTAAATTTCCCCACAATACTTTATTTTTTAATGTGTTTACATATGTTTATTTTCAGACTTTATGATTTGGGTTTGAATACTGGTCGACAAGCAGCTGTCTCAGATTTATGTTTGTGGCGAAATATCAAATTAAAACAACAAAGCATTCAATTATAGGATCAATAGGTCATATAAATCTTTCAACATGTAATGTTTTTTTATATGATAAGAGGAATTTTAATAGAAATTGCAAGCCATGGACTGCTTGGAAAATATAGTGTGTATAATAAAGAAAGAGTAAATTAAAAAAAAAAAAAAAGTTTTATGCATGCGGTGGTTGTATGGAGTGAAAAAAATATTTTTGCAAATTTTATTAAATAAGCTATATTGGTAAGTACTTTTGTGCAATGAACTGTATACATAATATTCATTCGGGGAATTAATTTTTTCCACACCTCACTAACTTCCAATGAAGGAAAAATTTTACGAAAACCTGGTGTTAAATGTGTTTACAACATCAACATTAAACCACATTAATTGATCAATTGAAGAATGCTGAGTGTATAATGTTATTAAAAATATAATAACAGAAATGGTCAATATTCATAAAGAAATTTTAAAGAGAAAAATGTTACAGGTTATCGCAAACATGTCTTCAGCATACAAGTATTGGCTTATGTATGTCCAGAATAATAAGAAATCCCTTGAATGTATGTTCATAATTCTTTTTTTTTATTTTGCGAAATATCTACTGAGTTATAAATATGTTAAGTTTTTATTTAACGTTACATTAATGAGTTGTTTTCGTTCTAATATTATGTGTGTTTCCTTTTGACGATTTTTTTGTTATTTAATTTTTCAAAGATGTATTAAAAAATAATAATTCCAATTAAATGTTTACAAAAATAGTATATGTTTAAAACAAAGCGATTATTTCGTTTACAATATTGGAGGAGAAGATTAAAAAAAAGTTGCTACAAAAAAAGGTGGAGAATGTTTAACAAAATGAGAACTTTAAGTTTAAGTATTAGGGAAAATTGTATATTATTAGCTTGTTGTTGTTTTTTCTTTCAAGACAAAAAAATGAAACGGGCGGGATGCTTGTTATGAGTAATAAGAGTTGCTTTAATTGTTTTGAAAAATTAAATTAATATAAAAGCGTCCACCAATTCCCAATAAAATGGCCAAGAGGTAGACACCATTTCTTAAAGTAAAAACTTTTGTTTTTCTATATCACTTGAGGCAGCATTCAAAATATGTTTCTCCGACAAAATTACCACGCATTGCTTTCGATACATTATGTTCAAAGAGGCGACGATTTGTTTGCAAAACATCAGCGGCTTCTTTATTTAATGGATCCTCTGGATTGGGTTCCTAAAGCGGCGACGGGTAATACAAATTAATACATAATAATTGTATGGCGACAATGTTGTAAACTTACCAAAAATAAATACTGTAAACCATAGACAATCGAACTTATAGTCAATACTGGATTCCAGTCTTCGCGCAGAATATTTAAACAAACATTGCCCTCGAGATCAATGTTGGGGTGATAGACTTGTGTTTCACACTTAACTTTTGGTGCTTCATGTGGATAGTTGGGGCCAACACGAAAATTAAACACAAAACGCCCACCTTTGTAAAAACCTTCATCGGGACAAATAATCAGTTTGAAATTGAGCAAATCATCTGGATCGGGGAAATCCATAGCACATGTTTTTGGCAGGGTAAGTTCATTAATGTCTAAAAATGGATTAATATCATGATTTTTTCTTCAACATCTTAAATTTCCTTTTAAAACGTTAATTTTTTTTAATAAATTAATTTTTGTTTATTCAAAATTATCTTAAGCAAGACGTTAGGTCAGTATGGAATAGATACAACAATAAAATCATTTATAAAAATTCACTGAGATAACGATAGTTTTTCAGTTTGTGGCGCCAAATGAGTTAATTATTTTATTATTTTTTATTTAAATATGTTTTATTAAAATTCTATGTTTTATTTAAAAATATGTGGATGACTTTAAACAATAACAGTCTGGGGAACCTATGCCACCTTCTGACGAAATGAAAGAGGTATGCATTTATTTAAAATCATGCCTGTGGAGGCAAACTTTTTGCTCCAAATTCAAATCTTCAAATCTATGTTTTATTTAAAAATATGTGGTATTCCGTGAAAATCAAACCACAGCGCATAGTTTTCGAAAACAGTGCAGCCAGTATCCAAAGTATTTGAGTATGTTTTGGAAGTATTATTTAGAAGATTACAAAATTAATAATATTTCACAATGCAAATTTGATTGTTGAATGTCCGCAAACAAAAAAAAAAAATCCCCATTGGGTGCCGTTATGCCTTCATTGGTTTAAATCACAACTTGGCCTTAAGTTATGCTAAATCAGAACAGATTTTAAACTTCTCACCTATGACAGATTTTACCTCCAGCTACGCGACGTAATCACATTTTAAATAGAAACATTGCGGTAGATGGAAGGACTTCGGCTGGTTAGGTATACGCAATAATGTTTGCATACGAAAATAAAAGAGCACTTATTGAAAATTAAGTGCCCATATCTCGAGACTTGCCGATATAAGGGCTACATGCAAATATTTCAAAATAGTTCGCTTCCTAAACATTAAATAGTTAGAAAAGTGTTTTAGGTGGATTTAAAACTTTCTCCTATGGACAGGTGGCAGCCCCGGTTACGCGATCGCATCTCCTTTTACTTGGATAGTTTTTTTTTGTAATCTGGACTTCAAACGCTTAAAATTGATACCCATATTGCCTCAGTAGATTTTAAAACCCGTAGGGTCCCAAAGGAACTTTTGAGGCCCATATCTCCGGAAATGCCGATTTCCGCAAGAAACAGTATACCGTCGTAATCAGGATCCCAAGGATACATGTGATAAAAATTTCAAAACGATCCTCGAGGGGGCCCTAAACTAGACTTAAGCCCATTAGACCAACATGCTTCAGTCGGAAATAGCTTACATTCACTTTGACGTATAAATCGGAAAAGTACATGACCACTACAAAGATTTCTGTCCAGAAAAAGGGACCAAGTGCAATGGCATGAATCATGGATAAAATCTTTTTTCGAAAGAGGTAGTTTCATGGAAAAATATCCAATTGGAAAATCTTATTAAGTAGTAAGGAAAAACTAACAAAGATGCGCCTTAAATAGAACACTCATTGTACGCACCAAATACAAATTATTTTCGAAATGAACATTTTCTTTTTACACATGTTACCTTTTTGTATGCGCAACTGGGCAGCAGATGCTTTCTTTTGTTGTGCTCCACTGCGGCCAGTTTGATCGCCCTCTTTCTTCTGTTGTTTCAGTGAAAATAATTTAATCATCTTTGAACTTTAATTGCTAATTCCAGATGAATAATAGTATTCTCTTGTTGTTTTTGCTGAATTCGAGACCCTGCCGATTGGGTGCCAGCTTTTCAAAGACCTCTGTGTTGTATTGTCGTCTTCGTTTGCAGTGATTGACTGTGATGTTGTTGTTGCTGATTTTCTTTTCTTCGCTGTCCGTGTTTCCGTGTAGATTTTTTGCAATGTTTTGTGCTGGCCTTTTCCTCTTAATTTCAGAGATTTGGATTTATGTTAACAACATGCAATGATTGATTATTAACAATATTCAAATATATTATCTAGCGAATATTATATATTTCAATGTATTACAATTCCGTTTCCGAACTTATGTTGGTTCCTTCTAAATTTTCCCAAAAATAAATAAAATTACACAGAGAAAAAAATTCCGCCACAGTTGCAAAATTGGCAAGCAGTGTTGTATTTGCTTGTGATTAATTTTGTACGTGTCTAGTTTAGCGTATGGCGTAAAAAGCATTGTATTTGAAGTATACGATATGGCATTTGAGATTGAGAGGATTTCGTAAATCTAAACGTACTATAAGCTGAACTTATGCAACATTTAAATGATATATACATTAGAACTTTTTACCGGGTTAACCCACTCTATGAGGATTTATTTGGCATGTATACAATGGAATTGACAATTGAAACCCATTGGGTTAGCGAAATCCGGTACAATGTAAACTTACTATTACATCAAGCGTGATATATGGTAATCGTAATTTCTTTGTAATTTAGGCTGTCATTTTCTGTGTGTGTTGAGGTATTTTTAAGTACGTTTAGATTTACGAACTTCACTCATTTTTTAATGACAATTTCATAGCATATATTTCTATAAAACCACGTTTCTGGATGTTGTTTGTTTATTGACATATATACAAAATAAATTATGATTATTAGCATAAATACAATTGGTATGTTCCTGTAAAAGAAATATATACAGTTTTACTCTGAGAACTTACTGAATGTTACTGGGTAATTATTTTCTAATAAGATTTAAGCAGCACAACTTGAATTTAACGACATAAACAAATTAATTTCAATCTGTTTCATTACTGGATGTTATTTGTTAACTTCTTTTCTCAGTATTTTTTCCAAAAAAAACTGCTTTACTGCAAGGATCTACTACTTTTGACATATATACGATAACGAATTTTCCTTTATGATATCGAAGAAAATAGTAAAATCTAGATGATTCTTGCATTAAGGGAACATACCCAATATAATGCAGTGGCAATGTTTACCTAGTTCCAGAACCTGCAACAATCCTCTTTTAATAGAAGACGTTTTTAATTTTAGGTTTATAAAATGGAAAAGATCTACCACTAAAGCGTAATTTAACATCTATTGAAAAAATGTCAAATTAGATAAAAGTTATGGTGTTCACTGTAAAAAGTCCACGATTATACGATATGTCTTCAAGTAATCGATAACGCCATACCAATAGCACGTGAAACAAATCAAAACAAAAACATTGTCTCTCTTCAACGTAAAATAATTAAAATAATTCAACTACAAAAGAAATGAGTCAGGAGCCGGAAATTGCCAAAGATGCTGTCCTTAAGAGGAGTGAGGCCATACCTGAGGGAACGGCTCAAGTAAAGGGTTATGATTTCAATGATGGAATTAATTATAGTAAATTGTTTGAGTCCTATGTTAATACCGGTTTCCAGGCCACTAATTTAGGTTTGGCCATAAAAGAAATTAATAAAATGGTAAGATAATTAAATTACAAATAATGTATATGGTTTTTTAATATACAGATAATTCAATTGTATTAAAGTTAGACTGTAGATCCCAACCCCTGACGGAAGATGAGCAAGATATTCACGAAACAGACGAATTTATTAAACGTAAACACAAGTGTACCATATTTTTGGGATTTACTTCCAATTTGGTATCATCTGGAATGAGAGAAACGCTGAGGTTTTTAGTGGAACACAATATGGTAGATTGTATTGTGGCGACAGCGGGCGGTGTAGAAGAGGATTTTATTAAATGTTTAGCACCAACGTTTATGGGTAAGAACATATTAAAGACGTCATTTTTTGGTTTAATTAATGGTTATTTTCATTTTATATAGGTTCATTTGAATTGTCTGGCCGAGATTTAAGAGATCGGGGTATCAACCGTATTGGAAATTTATTAGTACCCAATGATAACTATTGTAAGTTTGAAGATTGGCTTATGCCTTTACTGGATGAAATGTTGGAAGAACAGAAGACACAGGGTACTGTGTGGTCACCATCACGTATAATTAATCGCTTAGGAGAAAGAATAAATGATCCATCATCGATATACTATTGGGCTGCAAAAAATAAAATTCCTGTATTCTGTCCCGCCCTAACAGATGGCAGTCTAGGCGATATGATGTACTTTCATTCATTTCGTAATCCCGGCTTAATTGTTGACATTTTATCCGATTTAAGAAGACTCAATACAATGGCGGTAAAGGCAAAAAATTCTGGCATGATTATAGTAGGCGGTGGTGTTATAAAGCATCATATTTGTAATGCAAATCTGATGCGTAACGGTGCCGATTTTTCTGTATTCATAAATACAGCATCAGAGTTCGATGGAAGTGATAGTGGTGCCCGCCCTGATGAGGCTATATCTTGGGGTAAAATTCGTAAAGATGCCAGTCCGGTAAAAGTGTATGCAGAAGCTAGTTTGGTATTTCCAATAATAGTCGCAGAAACCTTTGCCAAACGAAAATTTAATACAAGCAAATGATTTTTACGCTTCAAGCAATAATTGTTACATAGAAATTGTGTGTGTAAACACACACATCATGGCAAATAAGCAAAGACTAAGTGTATGACCTCTACAATTTTAAACTAAAAATACTGTATAATAAATAAAATTATAAAAATCAATGTATGTACGTACCATTTTATTTATTTATTTATTCAGAACTATTTCAAAGTCCGCAGACCACATTTATTAATCTCATTTTTTAGAGTTTATACAATGTGTATACTTTCGACATACTTTTCAACGAATATTAACATAGAAATTGGCATGCCTGCAAGAAAAATACATTTGGCAATCCATCTTATTTCGTTATACTTTATGGAGTCTAAAATGGCGAATAGCGTAAAATGTTGGATTGAAAAATATCCGATACCATTATTACCATTTAAAATGCAAACGAAATTCACCAATAGGATTTGTTAAAAACATTTTATATAAAAAGACAAGTTAAAATTTGTTCATAATTATGTTTGATTTCTTGCGTGTTGGTTTCATCATAATTCCCCTGAATCAATAAATAATTACCCCCAAGAATACAGTTTTCCTAGACTAGAAATATTTGAAGTGTATCACTTGGATCTCACAAAACGGTATGCATTGTAATATTTCATTTAAATTCAATGGTTTAAATAAAATCCTAAATTCTTGTCGCTTGCTTTCGCCAAAACCACTATTTCTTTGCATGAAAGCAACTTCAAGTAAATGCTGGTGGTATTATTCATCATTTACAAATTATAACAAAACATACTATAATTATTATAACAGTATAACACATATGTGGTGGGTACACAATTGTTCGAAACTTTTATAAATGAATGTGGAACATTTGGAATCTGTTTAATGTGTGAGAGACAATGAATGAATGGTGTTTGTAGTAAGGTTTGGTACATGCTAGCATTTTGCCGGTAAATTCCGATAGCATTTACAGAATATCACAACGTGATAACAAACTATTCAGTGTATATACAAATAATTATGCGTGTTCCTGTTTGTATGTACAAATCTATATACAATGTTTATGTACATAAATGCATACGTGTAAAGTATATGTAACATATATTCTATTCAATAATGGTAGTAAACTGCAAGTATAGTGGTATTTGAATTTCACGTTATTAAGCACTGATGAAATGTAAAATACCGAAGAATATGAAATTTATTATATGGCTAATAAGTCATATATCTTATACGTTATATGGCTAATAAATTTATATAAATATTTTGGCAATTAGTAGTACATAGTTTAAAAAATAAAAAAATAAATACAATTACACAGAGAAAAAAAATCCGCCACAGTTGCAAAATTGGCAAGCAGTGTTGTATTTGCTTGTGATTACGTTTGTACGTGTCTAGTTTAGCGTATAACGTAAAAAGCATTGAATTTGAGGTATACGATATGGCATTTGAGATTGAGTGGATTTCGTAAATCTAAACGTACTATAAGCTGAACTTATGCAACATTTAAATGATATTTACATTAGAACTTTTTATCGGGTTAACCTACTCTATGAGGATTTATTTGGCATGTATACAATGGAATTGACAATTGAAACACACTGAGTTAGCGTAATCCGGTACAATGTAAACTTACTATTACATCAAGCGTGATATATGATAATCGTAATTTATTTGTCATTTAGGTTGTCATTTTCTGTGTGTTAATGTATCTCTAAGTACGTTTAGATTTACGAACTTCACTCATTTTTTAATGACAATTTCATAGCATATATTTCTATAAAACCACGTTTATTTGACATATATACAAAATAAATTATGATTATTAGCATAAATACAATTGGTATGTTCCCGTACTGCAAGGATCTACTACTTTTTACTACGATAACGAATTTTCCTTTATGATATCGAAGAAAATAGTAAAATCTAGATGATTCTTGCATTAAGGGAACATACCCAATATAATGCAGTGGCAATGTTTACCTAGTTCCAGAACCTGCAACAATCCTCTTTTAATAGAAGACGTTTTTAATTTTAGGTTTATAAAATGGAAAAGATCTACCACTAAAGCGTAATTTAACATCTATTGAAAAAATGTCAAATTAGATAAAAGTTATGGTGTTCACTGTAAAAAGTCCACGATTATACGATATGTCTTCAAGTAATCGATAACGCCATACCAATAGCACGTGAAACAAATCAAAACAAAAACATTGTCTCTCTTCAACGTAAAATAATTAAAATAATTCAACTACAAAAGAAATGAGTCAGGAGCCGGAAATTGCCAAAGATGCTGTCCTTAAGAGGAGTGAGGCCATACCTGAGGGAACGGCTCAAGTAAAGGGTTATGATTTCAATGATGGAATTAATTATAGTAAATTGTTTGAGTCCTATGTTAATACCGGTTTCCAGGCCACTAATTTAGGTTTGGCCATAAAAGAAATTAATAAAATGGTAAGATAATTAAATTACAAATAATGTATATGGTTTTTTAATATACAGATAATTCAATTGTATTAAAGTTAGACTGTAGATCCCAACCCCTGACGGAAGATGAGCAAGATATTCACGAAACAGACGAATTTATTAAACGTAAACACAAGTGTACCATATTTTTGGGATTTACTTCCAATTTGGTATCATCTGGAATGAGAGAAACGCTGAGGTTTTTAGTGGAACACAATATGGTAGATTGTATTGTGGCGACAGCGGGCGGTGTAGAAGAGGATTTTATTAAATGTTTAGCACCAACGTTTATGGGTAAGAACATATTAAAGACGTCATTTTTTGGTTTAATTAATGGTTATTTTCATTTTATATAGGTTCATTTGAATTGTCTGGCCGAGATTTAAGAGATCGGGGTATCAACCGTATTGGAAATTTATTAGTACCCAATGATAACTATTGTAAGTTTGAAGATTGGCTTATGCCTTTACTGGATGAAATGTTGGAAGAACAGAAGACACAGGGTACTGTGTGGTCACCATCACGTATAATTAATCGCTTAGGAGAAAGAATAAATGATCCATCATCGATATACTATTGGGCTGCAAAAAATAAAATTCCTGTATTCTGTCCCGCCCTAACAGATGGCAGTCTAGGCGATATGATGTACTTTCATTCATTTCGTAATCCCGGCTTAATTGTTGACATTTTATCCGATTTAAGAAGACTCAATACAATGGCGGTAAAGGCAAAAAATTCTGGCATGATTATAGTAGGCGGTGGTGTTATAAAGCATCATATTTGTAATGCAAATCTGATGCGTAACGGTGCCGATTTTTCTGTATTCATAAATACAGCATCAGAGTTCGATGGAAGTGATAGTGGTGCCCGCCCTGATGAGGCTATATCTTGGGGTAAAATTCGTAAAGATGCCAGTCCGGTAAAAGTGTATGCAGAAGCTAGTTTGGTATTTCCAATAATAGTCGCAGAAACCTTTGCCAAACGAAAATTTAATACAAGCAAATGATTTTTACGCTTCAAGCAATAATTGTTACATAGAAATTGTGTGTGTAAACACACACATCATGGCAAATAAGCAAAGACTAAGTGTATGACCTCTACAATTTTAAACTAAAAATACTGTATAATAAATAAAATTATAAAAATCAATGTATGTACGTACCATTTTATTTATTTATTTATTCAGAACTATTTCAAAGTCCGCAGACCACATTTATTAATCTCATTTTTTAGAGTTTATACAATGTGTATACTTTCGACATACTTTTCAACGAATATTAACATAGAAATTGGCATGCCTGCAAGAAAAATACATTTGGCAATCCATCTTATTTCGTTATACTTTATGGAGTCTAAAATGGCGAATAGCGTAAAATGTTGGATTGAAAAATATCCGATACCATTATTACCATTTAAAATGCAAACGAAATTCACCAATAGGATTTGTTAAAAACATTTTATATAAAAAGACAAGTTAAAATTTGTTCATAATTATGTTTGATTTCTTGCGTGTTGGTTTCATCATAATTCCCCTGAATCAATAAATAATTACCCCCAAGAATACAGTTTTCCTAGACTAGAAATATTTGAAGTGTATCACTTGGATCTCACAAAACGGTATGCATTGTAATATTTCATTTAAATTCAATGGTTTAAATAAAATCCTAAATTCTTGTCGCTTGCTTTCGCCAAAACCACTATTTCTTTGCATGAAAGCAACTTCAAGTAAATGCTGGTGGTATTATTCATCATTTACAAATTATAACAAAACATACTATAATTATTATAACAGTATAACACATATGTGGTGGGTACACAATTGTTCGAAACTTTTATAAATGAATGTGGAACATTTGGAATCTGTTTAATGTGTGAGAGACAATGAATGAATGGTGTTTGTAGTAAGGTTTGGTACATGCTAGCATTTTGCCGGTAAATTCCGATAGCATTTACAGAATATCACAACGTGATAACAAACTATTCAGTGTATATACAAATAATTATGCGTGTTCCTGTTTGTATGTACAAATCTATATACAATGTTTATGTACATAAATGCATACGTGTAAAGTATATGTAACATATATTCTATTCAATAATGGTAGTAAACTGCAAGTATAGTGGTATTTGAATTTCACGTTATTAAGCACTGATGAAATGTAAAATACCGAAGAATATGAAATTTATTATATGGCTAATAAGTCATATATCTTATACGTTATATGGCTAATAAATTTATATAAATATTTTGGCAATTAGTAGTACATAGTTTAAATTAGCCAATAACTAAGTTTAAAATTTGTTGTTTATTTGCTAAAATAAAGAATATCCAGTAAATTTTTGCCGATTATATCGTTTTAACGAACATACTTGAAAGGAAATTAATTGGTTTAGGAAAAAGTACATACATCACCGTTTTTTTTCTGTCAAAATTTCTAGAATAAATTAATAGAATACTTTATGAAATATAATTCCACGATGCCCTGTTCAAATATTTTATAAATATGTTCTTATATTAATAGATGTTTAATATATATAACAGGGCATGCATGTGTGCCTTTTTTGC